CTACATACCAGTGAGTGGGCTTTTGGTTTTCCGTATATACCTATATACTTGTGTTTTTCCCAAAAAGTGAAATGAAACGTTTATATGTTTTATATGCCATGCATTATGTTGCCCGTTTACTTATGCATTATTAGTTGCATATATATATATATATATGTTGTTTGGTGCTGCGGACGCACATGTAAGTGCCAGGTAAGTTATGGTTTATGTTTATGTTTAATAGTGATTTGAGATGCATAAAGAGCTCATAACCTGCAACCCCGGTGTTAGTGCTCCCGCCCAGAGTTGGGCACAGTCCTTCACGTGATATTCATCTCCCGCACCACATGCTCATCTTGGATCCAAGTTAGGTGCATAGTCATGTCGTATAGACCACTTTAGGTTGTTCCGACTCGTGTGCAGGTATAGTTAGTGAGTTGGAGATTTGAGCTCTAGATTCAGTCGTACAGGTCACGTTAGGTGACTCCGACTGACTGAGTACATGGCATTAATTGGCATTACCTGAGTACTTGCATTTTATTTTGAGGCATTTGACATGGCATATTTCTGAGCATGACTTATTTATACGTATATATTCTATTTTTCTGGGAAGTATACAGGTTTTATGGCGAGGGGTTAAAACTTTGTTTATGAAATGATTTTTGAAAAGCTTTGTTTTTGCCCACTCACGCTTTCTGTTTTGCGCCCCTCCAGGTTCTGGTTTGGCTAGCACTTTTGGTGGCTCCCCAGAGGATTTCCCGGCTTATCTGACAGAATATCACCAGTGTAGGACCACCTTTGGGTGTGTTTACTTAGTGTTTGTTTCTCCCAGACTGCACTAGGTCTTCCGTGCTCTGAACTTTGTTTTTCACACTTATGCTTGCACATGTATGTTATTTACTTTGTGTATAGCTAGATTTGTATTTATTCGTACTTTTATTGTTATTTCTTAGCTTTCGCACTGTGCACATGGTTACGTCACTTCCACATGACGCCCAGCATGCCCTAATCTCAGTCAGGGTGTGTCATTTAACATAAGGGTTGGAGATGGTCAAAAGAGCAAAACATAGATCCTCGATTGAAATGTCTTTTATTGTATATAAGTGACTGATGGTTCATATTCTAATGATAAATATATAAATAGGTATTTAGAATATTTCTAAAAGAAGCTTTAAATTTTTGTTAAACTAATAAATAAACAATGTAAAAAAAAAAAAAAACATTTTAGCTACTTAGTTTACAACATTGCAATTCTTACTATCTATTTGTATCATCTCTCTAAAAGAGATGTGACCTACTTGTGTTGGCGAGCTCTACCTCTATTAGAGAGATGATACAAATGATGGTACAAATAGATAGTAAATGTAGCACTACTCCTCAGTTTAACATAACATCTTCAACAACACTTTCTATTTTAACAATCTCTTAATATTCTTTTACTTTTTCAAATTAAAAAAAAAACTTTAAAAAAGGTAAATTATTCATATCTGCCACATTTTATACTAGCTTGTATAATAGCTAGTTTTCCAACAGCTACTTTTGTAATCATAGCCCAACATCCTTTTCACCCGTTGTTTTTGTTCTTCTGTAAAAGTGGTAGAGTTATTACTGAAAACACAATAAAATTTACACGTAATGAGATTCAATTACAAGATATGGACCCCTAAAACAAAGGTTTGAGCCTAGAAACAATATGGAACTTAAAACCTAAATTCCTTGCAACCGCCGCCGATGCATTGCAGAAAAACATCCACCCAACAGACACCTGAAAACCAACCAAAGAATTCTACAAAATGATGGGAAAATGACTACAACAACCTTCATAAAGCACCATAGATCTTGCAATAATAACAACGAACCAAAGGAAGCTGGTGAGAGAACTTATAAGCAACAAAATCACCGAAGGCAACAAAGTAGTCAAAGACAAATCCATGGAAGGTGGTGGTGTGAACACCCGAACCAGAACAAAATGCACTTCCCGATCCATGAGAGATGGTTGTGTGAACATCTGCACCGAAGCTCTAGACACATCCTGAGATTATCGCACCAAAACGTGTTCAAAATAATCTAGTGGGTTTGAGGAAAGCCAAAGAGGTGGAGGATGGGAAAGATGGGGAATAGAAAATGGAATTGATGGCATAAGAATTGAAAGCTAAAGCACAAATCGGAGACAATCAATGGAAAAATTGCAAGGAAAACTAAATCTGAGAGCTACCGACCCAGGCCTTAGCAAGGACCAACGGTAGAAGAGATGAAATTGAATGACGGCTCAACGTACAAGCTAGAAAATCTCTCACAGTGGGAGAGATAGACTCTCACAATGGGAGGGAAAGACATACTTCACCTGTTGTTAACTAATGCTCATATGCTCTTCTCCAACCTCTCTCATATTTCAAAATTATAATTCTTCGATTATAAGTGAAAGGTCTTAGATTTGATTCTCGTCGAAGATAAATTCTAACCAAATTATTGTGGCTAAGTCATACTAAGAGAGAGAGATCCTAGAGATTTTCTATTTTAGTGCATGAGGGAACATGGTTGGTTAGAGTTGATTTTTCTAACTTATCCCCAAGTATTTCTACGCAACAAAGTTTGAAATCCCCTTCATGTTTCCTCTCTACAAATAAAAAAAAGATAAAAGTCGATGCAATCAGATATGATTAATAGTTGGGATTGTATTTCCACCTTTTGATTTCATTTTTTTATAAAAGCTGAAAACTTTAACTAGTTTTAGTTTTCAAAAAATGAAAATTAGAAAACTAAAAAACCAACAACTGAAAACGAAATGTTAACTTATTATTCTATGGGTTCAACAATACTCTCTATATAAACAATTCGTGATTTGTTTAATTATTTTTTGAACTCAAAAACATAAAAAAATTAACTAATTTGGTTCAAACTGGGCTTATTAAATGAGCTTCTAGGCAATATTGAGGGAGATTATCTTAAAAATATGTATAGAAACCGTGAAATTTATATATATTAACAAAAAGGTTTAAAAATGACGTGTGCTAGATACAGTGAAGACTAGATCTCCAATTAAAGAATGGATCGATTCGAATCAAGACTCGGACCTCAGAGTCCAAAATGTTAGATCAGCGTGGTCATAATGACCTATATGATCTGGACCGGATCATCTAAAGGTACCATCAAAATAAGTCAATCTAATAGGCACTAGAATGGTAGACATGGGCCGCCATTGTAGAGACCTACTAGGCCCTCAAGGAACGTAATTCCTAATCCTACTTTGATTAGAAGAAAATCTTGGGAATTCCTATTATTCTGGGAATTAGCGTGTGCTCCAAGTAATCATTAGTCTAATGGAAAGAGAAATATCTTTTTAGATTTCCTATTAGGATTCTCTCAACTTCAATACAGATTTCTATCCTCATAAGGACTCTCATTGAACACTATAAATACGCCCTTTAGGGTTTGAGGTAAATGTATGACATTCTACACTTTATTCGACTACTTAACATTGTAAACACTGTCATAACTTGATCGTCAAAGGGTCCTTGGTAGGTACTTCCCCGATGCCAAGGTCTTTTATGATATCTTCTTCTTGTCTTATAGGTGGCCGACGATTGTTCGTATACTAAATGGTGATGTGCGAATTTGATTCCAATATATGTGAATAGTATATGTACCGTATTTTGGAGTTTTAAAAATGTATGATTTAGCTAATCATTAAGACATGCAAGAAATGAGAAAATATTTAAAAAAAAAACTACGTAAGTATATATATAATAAATATGTATAATATATATTCTACAAGAAATTATTGGCTATGATACTAATTATACAATAGAATATCTGCATGCGTGGTTGCTGCCGACCCATGTGTAGCAGTACAAGGCTTACTTAAAAAAATAGAGCACGTACATAACAAAAACATGAGCAAGAAATTAGAAGTTTCATTAGATATCTTACAACTAGAAGCCCTCTTTTTTCCGATCCGGTCTACGTTGCCACGATATTGTTTTATGGAAGCGGGTGGGCAGAAGTTCGGCCCGGTTTTTTTTGGTGTCGTAGGGATACATACGATTTCAATTTAAATAACAAGTTTTATGGTTATACAACCTTAGTTTTGCGTTACATATTAATCTATTTGTGGGCTTATTAAAATATATAATTTCGAATCTTTGATGTCATCAGCCAGCTAATATTCTCTTAGCACAATATAACATAAATCATCGGCTAGATTGTGAGTTTAATCATGGAAATTCTTGTCTAAATATTTTTTGCTTTAATAACTTGAATCTTGATGTGGCAAACTTATTTTATACATGAAGATCTATACACACTTCTAAAAAGATATGATTCCTTTCAAACGAAGGAAGATGATATACGTATAATCCCAAGCAATATATTGTGATAATCTTGAGTGATTTTTAGCTAAAATGATTTCTGAGAATGACATAGTACCTTACTTTAGTCTTTGACAATGAAAATGAATAGAAGTGGTCCTTGAGTTTGTTCACTATCAATCACTTTGGTCATTTCATGAAAAATCTGTCAATATCTTCATTAACTGAAAGAGTTGGTTTGAAAAGAAAAAAACCCTTATAAAGGTGGTCACGTGATCGTTCACGTAACAATTTAACAAGGATATTGATAGATTTTTTTTACAGACCATCCAAAATGATATACAGTGGATGAACTCAAAGACCATTTTTTATTGATTTTCAATGTTAAAATAAATTAAGGAGCTATGGGAATCTCAATAACCATTTTTACTATATAAAAAATAAAAAAAATCATCCGCAGGCTTGAAGTTGGAGCCATTATCCAGTATGAACTGAGGGTGGTTTTGGATGGGCCAAGTTGACAGGGCCAGACTCATTGCTCATCACCAAAACTATAAAGCCTGCAAACTCGTAACTAAAATTAGCCCAAACCTTGTCCCCTTTAGCCTTTACTATCCAAGTGACTAATAGAAAAGCCCAAATTTCGTAACTGTTTTTGTTGAAGGCCATTATCTTCAAACGCCTACAAGTACTCCATGTAAGCCATCCATTTTCCACAAGCAAAAGCACGAGCTCAAACGCACGAGCTAGCTATCAAGCTTTTCACTACTAGGAAAAATGATGAAGGGCATTGTGATCCCAATATTGGTTCTGCTAGCCGTGGCTCACCTAATGGTGCAGCAAGGAGAGGCCGTCGTCTCTTGTGGCCAGGTGGACTCGACCAAACGGGGTAATCTTGACCCGGCTTGCTGCACCGGGGCGCAGAACATCGAGAACCTTGCCCAAACCACAGCTGATAAGCAGGCCGCTTGTGAATGCTGTAAGGCAGCGGCAAACCGCTTCCCCAATGTTGACGAAGTTACGGCTTCTACTCTCCCAGGCAAGTGTGGGATTGAGATGAATATCCCCATCTCAATGAACACCAACTTGCTTATTAACTTTTCGCTTTTTTCTTGGACCAGCATCAGCCTAACATGGAGGTGATCACAAGGCAGGAAATAAAGCAAGAGAAAGCTTTGAGGGTTATATGATCATCCCCAGACATGAGCATTCGTTGTATTAATAAAAATATCTGTATTATTTCCTGTCGAAATAACGATTATTTATGCATGATTTGAGAGACCTAGTTAAATAAATTCATTTCTGAGATATTTATAAAGACGTTCCTGTTGTTTCTTCTCTTTAATTCAACACGTATGCGCTGATTAGGCCGCCTGAAATTCAGTATAGATTTGATCTGTTGCAGAAGCAAAGTACTGATGGTGTTGATCAAGAACTTGTTCAAACCCATGTAATGATCATGCACAGATTAAAAACTGAGGCTCATAACAATCTTTTATATTGTAATCGGATAAAAAAAGTTCCGAACGAACATAGTAATAGTATTCAAGCTATTAAGAGAACACACAAGCTCAGTAGCAAAAGCTGCTACTTCATGAGCAAACCTATTGTTGGACCAATTTGCGAATCAAGCAAACTCCCCTTGCATGTAATGATGTGGTGGTGAACCTCTCATTCGAATTCAGTGTCTCCGAATCATGAGAAGCAGCTAATGGCACGCATCGATCCCTAGGGGTTTGAATACAACGATCAATTTAATCGATCCCACGCAGTTTGTAAGTCACTAAATCTACATCATTTTCATTGGAGACTACTTTAGCTTATGCCAAAATACTATTGTAGCTCCATAGGTTGAACACTGAAATGTGCAACCGTGCAACCTTCAGGTGTCTGACCTTTCGGTCATAAACGAAACAGTGATTACGACATGGAGTAAAAAAAAATTCATGTAACTTGTACCGACTCCATAATATGTTTTCCGATTGCATACTTGCATATCTCATTCCTGAATCATCTATTGTAAAAGAAAACACCTCAACCACTTTGAGCCTTTTGTCTAATAAATCTTTTATTTTAGAGAGTTTTAACGAAACATTTCCAGTACTGTTCGCTTTTAACGAAAAATCATATTTTTACCTTTCTCTGGTACTATTCATTACACTTTTATTTGTTATTTTTCATTAAAACTAAAGTTTTTTTGAACTTTTCATTAGTTTTTATTTTATTTTTTATTTTAACCATATTTCAATAGACTCCCCTGTAACTTTATTTCAACAATGAACATGTCTAAGACAAAATTTCCAGAGTAAGTTGGCAATTATCTCGAAGAAGGATGAAGTTTCTGTTTGAGGGTCATTATCAAAATCAAATTCAGAGAACTCTGCAGAGAGATTGAAAACTGAAGAAACACACACAGCAAAAAAAGGCAGGAAATGTAAAGGGCGGTAACCATAATTTCATTGCAAGGGAACTAATTTAATAAGCCATTCAAGAGACGGACGCATATTAACTAACAGAACGATTTCATAACAAACAAATAAAATATACAACAAAATATAAAATTATGTTGTCATGTTGAAGTTGAAGAAAGCATGGAAACACAAAATTGTGGAAAAAGTAAAACTTTCATTAATTTGAATGAATAAGCAGTTTCTAAGCCAAAATACATGAACATCTCAAATGAATTATATATCATTACTCCTAAACCTCATCTTAACTTTCCAATAATTTCAAGGTCTCTGTTGCCATCACGGGCTAATCTGAATGATGGAGTCATCAAGCACCTTGCTCCTACAAACAGGGCACTGCATCTCAGAAGTGAAGGAGTACAACCACTTGTTCAAACAATCCCCACAAAACAAATGACCGCATTGAGTCACCACCGGCTCTCTAGCCATCTTCACGCACAGCTTGCAGTCGAAATACTCTGCAAGTCTCGGGGGAGACAAAGGCTGATCCGGACTACTCACAGAGCGGAATGAAGCTTCGTCATCATAAGTCTTATGTTCAAGTTCACTTTCATGAGAAGAAGATGAATCACAGATTGAATCGACCGAAGCAGAGGCATCATCAGCATTACAACGACTATGGAAAGGCTGGACTCGAGAACCATAAAAGTAATCATATTCTTGTTCTGGTTCTGGAAAGTAAGGTTCTCCGTAATCGTCTTCTTCTGGTTCTGGATAAATAACTTCATGGTATTCAGGTTTACAGTCATCATCCTCTAAATCATCATCAAATTGACAGAATTCATCATGATCACCGCCAAGTTGAGAGCTTTCGCACTCGTGATCGTGACAGCTTTCGTCGTGCTGATATTCTTGCTGTGGTTCTGGGAGATATGAACCAGCATCGTCATCAAGTTCACAGCATTCTGGCTCGCAAGTTACATAACCTGAATGATCAGGAGAATGAGCATAACCAACACTTTGTGGACTGTATGCCTCATACCCAAAAGGGCCATCGTCACGCTTAATTTCAGAACCAGAAGAAGAAGAAAAGTGTTGAGATTCTTCTTGTGGGAGGTTTCTGAAGCGGAAACGCTTAACTTTCTTGGAACCACGCATACGAGGATTGGTGGGTTTAAAGGCACACTTGACTTTCGGTGGTATTATGCTTTTGTGGTTGGAACTGGAAGCCATTGATTCAAACAACGCAGAGAATTAATGCAACGAAATCGTTGAAGAACGAAGAACGTGACACCCAGTATGCAGAGAACGCAAAGCAATTGAAGAAGGAGAAGATTGTGCGAAAATGAGGTCGAATCAAGAGAAGGAAGAAGAAACTAGAAACTTAGAGCATGGAATTTTGAGGGTTTCTATATCACATATATTATATATATAGTATTAGGGTTTCACGGCTGAATTCCTAATTCTACTAAGACTAGGAGACGTGGCCAGCAAGCTTTCTCCTTTTCGGTTTTTATTTCTATTTTTATTTATAAAAAAAATTAAAAAAAATGAAAGGAAAATAGAAATTGAATTTTGAATTTGAGAAATAAAAGTTTACCGTCGCAGCTAATTGGCGTTTCTGCTGCCACCGACTTTGGACTTTAACTTTTGCGCAGCCAAACCCTAATTTTTCAAATTAAATCCCAAATAAAATGGGGAAGAAATCGGTGTTGGTAATGTGCCGACTTGGTAGAATTTGGTTTGCACCAAAACCCCAACAGGTTCAATAAAGTTTATGGGCCAATGACCCGAATTACCCTCCCAAATCACAAAGAATTTCCTAAACATGTCCCAAATTGCGATTCTATTTTTTCCCTCCCATTTCAATTGCGAATTAATAAGCATGTCATTAGAGTAATCACAATCTTTTGATCCAATAATTGTCCATATTTCTGGTTTATTGTCACGATTAATACTTACATTTGTATGCTTCTACCTTTGATTAACGTTGTCGTTACCTTAAATAAATTTCAAGCCTACTATTACATGAAGTCCTGCCATGCATGATATTGTGACATTCCAATATCCAACATAGGTTTGCTCACAATTTGTATGGTATAGACATATAACTAAGCCCAGTCTCGAGGAAACAATGGTTTAACTTTTACTCGAGTCCGTTACTTCGTTGATTTTTTGGTAGCGAACTGGATACATGAAACAGAAGTATACACTATTTACAGTTCACACACCTTGTAATTAGCACATGTTAATGTCTCCCAATAAGCGCTTTAGTTAATGTCTATAGCTAGACATTGCTGAAGGTTGGTGGTCAGATCACTGGTTCCTTTAGAGTCACTGACTCGGCTGCAATGTCAAATGGTGCTTCCAAGTAGTGTTTGAGTCGATGGCCATTTACTTTAAACTCGAAACATGTCTCCCCATTTTTAATATCCACAGCCCTGTGTGGATAAACTTTAGTAACAATATAGGGACCCTGCCACCTTGATTTTAATTTTCCAAGGAATAACTTCAACATTGAATTGAAAAACAAAACCTTTTGACCTGGCTGAAACTATTTGTGAAGAAGTTTGCTGTCATGGAATGCTTTTGTTTTCTCTTTGTATATCTTTGCACTCTCATATGCATCATTTCTGAGTTCTTCCAGCTCGTGCAATTGCAGTTTTCATTTTTCTCCAGCTGCATCATATGCATAATTAAGTTCCTTAATTGGCCAATAAGCCTTATGTTCAAGCTCCATAGGTAGATGGCACGCCTTACCATAAACAAGCCAAAAGGGAGACATCCCAATCGGTGTTTTATACGCTGTTCTATAGGCCCATAAAGCATCATTTAACTTAACACTCCAGTCTTTGCGGCTGGCATTGACTGTTTTCTCTAAAATGCGCTTAATTTCCCTATTAGAAACCTCAACTTGCCCATAAGTTTGAGGGTAGTATGCAATGGCCACCCGATGACTTATCCCATATTTAGTAAGTGGTGCAGCAAATTGTTTATTTAAAAAGTGCTTGCCCCCATCGCTGATAATTGCACTAGGTGTTCCAAAACGTGGAAAAATAATGCCCTGGAGGAATTTCAGTACCACAGATCCTTGATTTGTTGGTGTTGCAATGGCCTTTATCCACTTAGAAACATATTCAACGGCCACCAATATGTACTGATTTCCATTGGATGATGGGAATGGTCTCATAAAATCAATGCCCCAAGCATCGAATAATTCAACCACCAAAATACTTTGATGTGGCATTTCATTTCACTTGGACTGATTTCCCACTCGTTGACATCTATCACAAGCCTAACACTAAACATAAGCATATTTAAAAATAGAAGGCCAATACAACTCACTTTGTAATATTTTAGCTGTTATTCGTTTTCCCCCAAAATGACCACTACAAGCATGCTGATGTGTAAACGTCAGAACACTTTCTTGCTCTTCTGCAAGAATACACCTACGAATAATTTGGTCTGGGCAATACTTGTATAAATAAGGCTCATCCCAAAAATAATACTTAACCGTTGCTAAAAACTTTTTCTTTTACTGGAAAGTCATATTTGGTTGCAAAGTACCTTTAGCCAAATAATTGACAATATCTGCAAACCACAGAGTTTTGCTACGAATGGCCATAATCTATTCATCAGGAAAACTCTCATTTAAAGGAAGTAAATCATCTTCAGCTAGGCTGGTGCTGATCAGCCTGGATAAGTGATCAGCCACAACGTTTTCACTACCATTTTTATCTCTATTTTTTAAATTAAATTCTTGCAGAAGCAAAACCCAACGAATTAACCTTGGCTTGGCGTCTTTTTTAGATAATAAATATTTCAATGCAGCATGGTCTGGGTAAATTATAACCTTAGCCCCACCCAAGTAGGATCTAAACTTTTCCAATGCAAAAACAATTGCCAATAACTCA